CACTTCAAAGAACCAAGACTCCCTCCTCAATGGGTGGCGGGGGAGGGAGGAGGAAGAAAGAATTAAAAACGGGGGCAGAAAGTGGAAAAACCAAATGTGGTTTAGCTCAAAGAAATGCCCCATGGAATGCTGCTAAGTTTGTGGAGAGTTGAGCTTAACCATCAAGGCATCCTTCAAGTCTTCACTGCCTCTTTCCGTTTTATTCTCTATCTTTTTTTAAGAGTTGTCCCTCTTGTTTTATAGGTGTTTCACCATTATTGGCTATCCAACAGATCACAGGGGGGAAAGGGAAGAAACGTATATGTTAACGTTACAAAAATAATAACAAGTGAACACACAACCTAAAGGTTCTGCGGGAGGGAAATATTAAAAGAACCTTGATTTTAAAAGAAAAACAAATGTAATTTAAGAAAGTTTATTATAAAGTCAATGCAGCAAAAAATTAACATAAAAGATTTGCTACAAAGTATAGAAAAAAGGTATAAAATAAAATTATTGTTTGAAATGAGGATGTAGTTTTATTTTCTGGAAAAGGTGTTATATTCATACAATATGCAATGCGGATGTCTCTCTGAGTACAGAAAAGAGCAATTTTCAAACAAACTGGCAATGTGGGAGGCTCATCTGAACGGTGCCTCTCCTGAAATGGCCTCGCTTTATTGGGGATGACGTAGAATCCATCGATTTGGGGAAAGCGGGAACGAATGAAGCACGTTTTGAGCCAGTTCGGTCACTCGAAATCGGCGAACTCTAGAGGATTTCACTACCTTGCGCGAATGAAATGCTGGAGCGTTTTCGTGGAAATCAAAGGTGCAGAGCTTTGTGGGTGTTGACGCTGGACGTTTATCAGATGAGAGAGCAGTTTTGCCCCTTTCCTATCCCCCAAAAAGGGAGGGAGAGAGGAAGGGACTTTCCACAGTTGCCCCTTTTCTAAAGCACGTTGTTTAACTGATGTGAAAAAAAGATGGGAGAGGACCCGTTCCCACGGCTTCCTCTCTGCTTGACTGGTTTGTCCCCTCCAAGACCGTTCCCTTGTCAAGTGACAGTGCGATCCTGTGGCCGCGCTAAGGAAGAAGCCCGGCTGAACTCAGCCCAGCTATAAGATCGCAGTGGCAATTCCAGAGGTACGAGTATTCTCGCAAAAGGAGGGACAGAAATACAAAGTACCCCCGTCTTAAAACGGAATGGCGTCTTGAAAAGGGGAACATACATTCGTTTCAAATGTTTGCTTCCCGGTTCTTAGCCTATTGATGGAGAAAGGGAAAATCAGTCTCATTTACTTCGCTGAACACGTTTTGTTATCAGTGCGCTCCCTTTAACTCGGAGGGGGAGTTAGAGCATGTAACAGTAGTAAAATCGAAGCATCCTCTCATTTTATTTTGAAGAGCCAGGGCATTCTTGGGGGGGGGGGGGCGGAGGCCTTTCGAGCAAAGTTTAAAACGGTTTCTCTGATATATTTTAAAAAGATTTCCCCTCCCCCCATTGCATATTACAAACATTTGTTTAAGCTACTTTGTAAATACTTTGTCATATTTTGCCTCCACCTTGAAGCTCTCCAGGTGTGTCCGTGGGAATTGCAATCCCCGTCTATCTGGAGGGCCTTTAGGTTGAACAAAGTGACCTTACAATACCTCTGATCCACGTGCTGCGGAGTAACCTATCTTTAGTTTCTCGCTCTGTTAAATTTAGCTCGCGCGTGTCCTGAGATTTCGTTCGCCTTCCTGGGAGGAGAGAGGCGCGAGAAGCTAAATAAATAACAACTAACCTTCTGTCAACTCCGCCCCGTCCCGCAATTTCGGATGTGGTGGGGGAGAGGAGGGCGACGCAGCATTACCCGAGCTTGGAAAGGGAAGCCGGTCTGGAGAGCGCTTCTATAATTCATAAGCAGCTTCGCTCCAGCTGCGGTGGGCGAGAGGAGGTGGGCTGGGGACCGGCTGAGAACCGAGCCGTTGTATTGATCCGGCAGCAGAAACTGCTCTAACCTCACCTATTTATAGCACCCCGAGCCTTCCATAAAGAAGCCAGCACCGACACGTAAATAGACGAAGAGGAATCGGTCTTCTCTTTCACCCGAAGAGAGTCAAAGTTGTTCCTTGGAAAATAATAAGGGGGCGGGGGGCTTTATTCGACTCTTCATTCACGTGGCCTTTCTTGTTGTGGTTTCTAAGCTGATGTGGGGAAGTGCGTGCGGGTGTGCACATCCGCGCGCCCTGCATCCAGGTGTGCCAGGCGTTGCCGTCCGCCCTCCACCGCCCTCGCCAGGAGAAAAGCGCGCTCGATGTGATGAGTAACCAAGAGTCAGGCGCGAAGGCGCCATAAATCACACGCGGCGGGGCGATCAGCCAGCCGAGCTGCTTCTCCCCAGCGGATTGAATCCCGGCAGCACATGTGCCCAGGAAGTGGGGCCGGGCGACGCCAGCCTTGCCACGCGGTGGATTCTGCACTCTCTTTGGGGAAGGCTCGAAGAAGAGGCCGTCTGGCCGCTTCTCCAAGCCAGGAACGCGGGCGGCGCCTGACGTCTCCAGAAGATTCTTCTTCTGCGCCCCCGTCCCTGCCCTGCTGGACTCGGGGCTTGCCTTTTCCCTCGGAGACAAATGCCTCAAGTACCGATTTCTTGGCTTCTTTAAAACGATCAGCGACGTGAGCTCTAAATGGAAACGGAATACAGTATTCACGGAAAGAAAGTCTTAAGATTTTTCCTCCCAAATGACGTGCATTTGTTAGATTCGCTGCTGAGAAAAGTCCTTTTTTCCCCCTGTCTACTCTTTCTTGAGGAGGGAGGGTTGTCGTAAATTCAGGGTCAAATAACACAGGATAGGTGGAAACTAAGCCAAGCTATCCATCACAGAACTGGAAAAAGCTCCCGAGCAGTTAGTCTACACTGATGTGCCTAAAATCACATTACATTAATAAGCGTGCTAGCAATAATTGGATCATGAGAGTTTGGAAAGAGAGCCGTCTATCAACGCTCATCCCAGGGATGGGCAAGCGAGCTCGCGCCAGATGTTTCAGGCTCCCGTTCCCATCAGCCACATCCTTTCCCGCGGCCAACTGTTGGGGTTATGGGGGTTGTAGTCCAACTCATTTGGAGGTCTCTGGAGTGTCTCCTTTGATGTCCTTAGAGATCTGTTCGTACTTAAGGAGGAGATGCCTCCTCGTTATTTTTCCTGTACTACAAGGCATTTTCTACTAATGCTGATAAATGTTACTATTAACGAGAAAGTTGATTGTATCCTAATAGTCCACTCCATCTCCCACGCACGCATAAACTGAATTGGTAAAAAAAAAAAAAACC